TACATTTGTAATAGAGATAATAAACATATGTAAAAATCTAATAAATGTGACTGAACAACAAGGTAGTCAGGTAGTAATATTTTCATGGTCAGGGGTTGCCATGTGTACTGTATATGTTATTCTCAAATTATCTTGATCAAATTATCAATTGGACACAAAGCCTAATGAGACAATGATAACATAGAGCTGATGCTGACAGTCAGACGGATGAGGTAATTAATGAAGAAATTCTGGTCAGGCTCAACAATGAGCAATACATTAGCTATTCTTGTTCATGTCAAATTGAAAATGTTTTCCAGATCATTAAGCTGGCTTCATAAAATGCTTGGCCAATTTTCTGGAACTCAGAAAAGAATCAGTTTCAGATGATTATTAGAAAATATATACTTACACTGTTGTTATTCATTTGGTTTGCTTTTACCTTATATATATATTTTGCATTAAACTAAAGAATTATGTTGCGTATTTCAGAGGTGATTTATGTTAAAACTGAACTGAATTATAATATAGGAACACAGAACACATTGCTATTTATTTGCTACTTAATGTGCATGGCTTTGTGGTTTTGCTGGGCTGTGTACACAAGGGCATTTAAAGATGAAGTTCTGAAAAGCAAGATTAGAGTGTGGTGAGTGTAGTGATGTGCATTACAAATACCTCTGTGCTCCCAATCCAGGGAACATCGTTCTGAAACCTGAGGTGCAGGCACTCTGGGCCCTGTTTAAGCATAATAAAATTACACATCCACAAGAATCTGGCTACAGAGCAGAATGCAGAGTTTAGATGTGTGCTGGCATCTCAGCAAAGAGGAAGTTGTTCCATATCCTAAAAAGCAATTCCAGAAGCTTTTGAGTACATCTCTTCTCTATTGAGCTCTGTTTATTGAACATTGCTCCCTCACAGTCATTGGGGGTAGTTAGATCAATGCTATATGGCTCACTGCCCTCCTATGTACTGTATGTGGGAATCTATATATGTGTATTTATAACCATCAAACAGCATACTGTATTCTGACAGTCAGCAGTAAACTAGGTCATCAGAGCACTGAACAGTACAAGGGCAATGAAAGGTGCCAAGCATTTTATTCTTTTGAACCTTTCTGTCCATAAGTATTCATGGCAGTAGAAAAGGCTTAGCCTCACTTAAGGGCAGATATTACCATTTTATCAGGGATTGGCAATAGCAATTGAATCAGGTTGTTTACTCTATCCAATCAGTTGTTCGCCCACACATGGTGCACTGGTGGGCATCAGACTAATGCAGAAAAAAGGGATTGCTGAACAACATGGGGAACAATGGCTAACATCTGATGCTTATGGGAACTTAAAGCCACTTCCATATCAAAAGCATGCTGCATTTAGGGTTATACTGGGTACCTGGGGCTCACCAAAGGAAATGAGAGTTCGGGACCACCTTACAGCAGTATGTGCAGCTCTCCATTGTCAATAGTGGGTGTGGATTGTGAGCAGGACTTGGCATTATTTAGGTACTTGGTTTGATGGTTTAGGCTCACTCATTATACATTGCCACTTTTGGCTAGGAACAAGTGTAGTATCTTTTCTTATAAGTGTCCAGTAGGGATTGTGCCACAGCTAAGTTTAGCCTTATGGTCGGGATGGCTGTTTGTATAGTGTCCCTGTAATGTGTGGGTCAGGAATACTTCCAAGGGGCCCAGTGCCACCTGTTTTGAGTGGTGCTACATGGTCTGGCCAAGGGCTAGGAAGGCAAAAAGCCCTCTGTGTCAAGCACCCCCCTGGGAGTGGTGCCCAGGGAGTGCTCTGAGTATCATCATCAGTTTGGGACTCCACTGTGAGAACAAGCAGTAACCACTTTGCTTTTTTCTGCACCACACCTGGAAGGCCTTTTGGTTAAGACTGAGGCAGTTTTTTTGCCAGGCCAAAAAGCCTAGCCAATGCACCTGGACTGGCACTTTTTTGTTTAGCATATTTATTGTTTCTCTCCACGTGTGTCAGTTATCTGTGTGTTCTTTTACACTGAGGATGGAGGGTGTGTGTCCTCAGGCCTACCCTGAAGTCCAGGAGGAGGATGTGTGGCATTTAGGTTCTTTTCTTTACTGCATTTGGTGGTCTGCCTTTGGGAGAGCTCCTCACCTAGTATTCAGTGGTTAGCCTAGCCCCTGTCAGGAGCCTTGGTCAAGGAAAGGTCCTGCTTCTTCAGGAGGTAGAGACACACTCTAAGTGCACTTTTTTGGATTACGCACACATTTACTTTTAGTTGACATACTAGTATTTTGCTTCAAGTCACAACAGCACATTTTATCAGGAGACTATAGGATATTACAAAAGGTTGCAGCAAATGATAGCAGGCCATATCAGTTATTTTATGAAGCAAGAGCATGACCATGCCACAACTACAATTACTCTAGCCAGTAAGAACTTAACAAATTGCAGCAATACATTCTATAATAGTTGTGCAAAAACATAATGCAGCTCATGTGATTGGGCATTGCTTAAAGGGGGTAGTAAATAGTTTATTATACACTGCGCACAAATGCCTCATTCTTTTCATCAATATAATACTCCAAAAGCAATAGTCTCATGAACACATTATCCTCCAGTCAAAGGATTCTTTTTAAAAAATTAAACTCTTACATTACCTATTCTTTTCTGCAACCAGAATATACACAGAGAGCTAACACTTTTGTCTGAGCCTGCGTTTAAGAAGGGCTTCATTACAATCCTTAGAAATTTAGGTTTCTTATTTCATTTATCTCCACCAATTTGGTAAGTTGCCAATTGTCTATATTACATTCTTTTCACGATATAGCAGACCTTGTCGTATTTATTCCTTTGAGTGAATATGTTTAACATAGGTGTATATCTTTGTCAGCATTGATGTTGTTACTTTATGCCTATTTCAATATTAATAAAAACTCCTTTGGACTGAAAAAATATTGTAGAAGTACTTAGCAACCAGCATCTGTTGGGCCAATAAACATTGTGGGGCTGATTTACTAACGGCAAGTATACTGTGCACTGCAAGTGCAGTTGCTCCAGAGCCTAGTAAATGAGGTAAAGCTTTACTTTGCATAGAATACCCAGTCACATACAAGGAAAATAAAAAAAAACTGTATTTTTGCTTGCACATGATTGGATGATAGAAATCAGCACAGTTTCCCCTCATTTTGGAGCTTTCCCTCAGATCTAGAAAAACTGCACTTGCAGTACACAGACTATTTGCCTTTAGTAAATCAACTCCTGTGAGTATGTAATGTACAGCAGAGGATATAGAGTGCAATGTTCAGGTCATTGTAATAGTCCCCTCAGAAAAATCATTATCATCATATTACCACCAGCCGGGCTCATTCAGCTATCACCTCTGGTCCCTGTTTAAAAGGCCATAACTATTCCCCTTCATATTCTCTTCTTACCAGCACCCCTCATTTTCAGGCTCTCCTATGTTCAGCCCACCTCATTTGCAGTCATATTCACATTTGTCCCTATTCACAGTCCTATTCCACCATGCTCTCTGAAGTGCAGCTTTCACCAATTTCCCTTATATTTATCCACCGTTGGCACCCCCAATGTAAAAATCCCTCTTATATTCAACAATCAATTGCCCACCCGATGTAACGCTACCTAATAGTCCATCAGCAGTCCCCCATCCCATTATAAAGTCTTCTTCTGTTCATTCATCAACATCTCCCTCATTCAGAACGTACATCATGCACTTATAGTTGTGCTCAAAAGTTTCCATACCCTTGCAGAAATCGTGAAACTTTGGCATTTATATTGAAAATATGACTGATCATGCCAAAAACTGTCTGTTATTTAAGGATAGTAATCATATGAAGCCATTTATTATCACATAGTTGTTTGGCTCGTTTTTAAATTATAAATGGTAACAGAAATAACCCAATTGGCCCTGATAAAAAGTTTACATCTCCTGAAATGTTTGGCCTTGGTACAGACACACAAGGTCACGTACTCAGGTTGAAATATCAGTTTTAACAATTGCCAAAATAATTGTTCTGGATAAAAAGAAAAAACCTACAGGTATCTTTAGGAGAAATACCAGAGAAAAGCCTGGTTACAATATGCCCGACAAAACCTTGACACGCCGATCTTTTTTGTGGCATTAGAGAAGTAAAGTTTCCTTTCTGGAAACTTGACTATGCAGCTAATTTTTTTAAAGTATTGTCGTTTTGTGCTCCTTGAAACAACCACACCATCTTTTTCCAAGCAACCTGTATTTCTCCTGAGGCTACCAGTGGGTTTTTCTTTGTATCCCGAACACTTCTTCTGGCAGTTGTTGAACAATTCCAGCCCTTACATTCATCCATCAGAGCCGCTGTCACATGCACCCATCAACAGCCCTCAACGTGCAGCCCCTCTCATGTATCTACCACCAGTTGTCAGTGTACACCCTCTCCCACATATCTATCATCAGATCTCAATGTACAGATCCCCTTCCCCCCAAACTTATTTTTTTATCAACTTGATCTCAATGTACAGCCCCCATATAATTATCCATCACCATTTTCCCTCATACAGTATATATTCTTGATCATCTTCATGTTCTTTAATGTACAGCCCCTGCATTAGATTAGTCATTTTATTTTTATTGCCATCTGGATAATCTTGCCTCCCCTAACCTTACCCCCATTCCTTCTAGGTTTGCACTCACCTGATGTGTACAATGACGTCTAAATTATGCAGCCTATGTGTTTAGCTTGACTGCGTATCGTCCCCACTGGTGATCAAACCACTGTGGGAACTACAGAGCCAGTGTCTGAGCTGAGTGCCCGCCAGAGGCTCCTCTGGTTCTGCAGTTGGCCATCTGAGCCTAGCTGCACTTATCCATTTAACCCTTTAACACGGGCCCTAGCACCATGTATAAGGTGTAGACAAAATGTGGTGACCACTGCAAAAGATTATCTGAACCACCACAAACACTGCATACATGGTCAAATAAATATACATTTTATTATGTATTCTTCCGTACCATAATAAACCAACAGTATGATGCTTTTTTTTCAGGGTAGACAATGACTGCCTCAGTCCTGACATTCAAGGTTCAATTCATGTTGGGGACCGAATACTAGAGATCAACGGCACCCCTATTCGCAGTGTTCCACTGGATGAGGTGAGCTGTCTGTTTTGTTTTTTTTTTGAAAGGTGTTTATTTAACCACTTACGGTCCAGACACTTTTACCACCTTCCTGTCCAGGCCAATTTTCAGCTTTCAGTGCTATCACACTTTGAATGACAATTGCGAGTTCATGCAACACTGTGCCCATATAAATTTTTTTGCATTTTTTTGAGACCGATTTATTTTGGTGGTATTTATTCACCACTGGGATTTTAATTTTTTTTGCTATGTAAATTAAAAAGTTTAGTTTGAAAAAAAGTGTTTTTCTTATAAAATTTTGCAAATAAATAATATTTCATCATAAATCTTTGCCAAAATGTATTCCGTTATATTTTTAGTAAAAAAAAAAAATAACCCAAATTAGTTTATAACCAAAAATTATAATTTTTAAACATTTTTTTTAATATTATTTTTTATTTATTATTATTATTATTATTATTTTTTTTTTTTTTTTTTACATACTGTCACCCTAGCAGTACAGTGTCACCATGGTGACACTGTAGTACTTGTGGGGGGTGATGAAGTTTTTTTTTTCTTTTTTACACTGATTGCTTTTACACCCATAAAGGCTGTAAAAGCAATCATTTCTCCTCTCTAGCTGCATTCTTGCAGCCATTGAGAAGTACTGAGTGAGCTGTGATTGGTCACAGCTTGTCACATGGTACAAGGCTGTTGTGAATAGCCTTGTACCATGTGACCTCTGTGACCATTCACAGATTTCACACATAGTAAGCAATGATGTCACAAGTGGCATCTTGCTTACTACTCTGCATGTGATCACTGATTGGCCAATCAGTGATCACATGATCGGGACCTCTGTCCCGTCCGATGATCGGTGTTCCACTGTGTCCGGAGGACACAGCGGGCACTGGATCGCGGTGCTGCACGCTCCCAGGGAGCGCGAACAAGCAGGGTGCAGGGAGGCCGTTTATAAACGGCCACCCGACCCTGCACTGACACCGTCCGGCCCGTTTATATTCAACGGCCGGACGGTAGGTGGTTAACATTTTCACATAAGAAAACACAACAGTAGGAGGAATAAAAAGGCAAAGGTACAGGAATACATGACCAACAATAATAGCAAAAGAAGTGCATAAAAGTAGCTACACAGAGCCACAAATAAGGCAGACAAAAAGTCATGTCAAGAGCTGTCCTTAAACTTTTCAGGGTCTTGTGTGTCGTGTTCTTCTGCTATACCGTTGATCTTCTTTTCCTTTTTTTCTCCAGATTGATGTCTTGATACAGGAGACCAGTCGTCTCCTGCAGCTGACCATTGAGCATGACCCTCATGAGAACAGTGCCATGTCTACTCCATGTACAGAGTCTGGAGTCAGGCGTCAAAAACCAGTCACGTAAGAAATTTTCTTTTGTGGCACAAATTAGAAATATCATTATTATGATGAAATATTTAAAATAACCACAATTTAATTTGTTAATTTTGATATTTTGTTTACCTTGAAACGCTTGAAAAATTGTGCAGATATCTATAAAAAACCTAATGTCCAAGTCTGTACAGAAGTATACTAATCTTGTGCAATTTGTTACTATGCAGTGTCTGAACTACACCCTCACATGCCAGGTTTCAAGGCTAATATTTCCAGTTTCTCGTAATTATTTCATGCTTCTTCCTCCCCTACATTTGAAACTTACCATATATCGGAATTGTAATTATTTTCCACTGCTCTAAATGTCAGGTAGCATAAACAAGGCTGTAATGCTGTGTCCGTGACTAGAGCAGTGGCGGTCAACTTGAAAATTATAGAGTGCCTCAAGTGCAGTCCCCAACACTTCTAGAGAGATGGACAATAGCAGCACATTTTGTACATTGGGGTCCATTTAATCAAGTTAGGCAGCCCAAGGGCTATAACGCACCTCACCCAAACATTTTCGTCCTATTGCATTTTTTGCAGTGTATCGCAATACGCACTGAAGACTTTGGAGTACAATAACCTCCAGCATTGTTATCAATGGATGCAATAATAACCCCTAGCATTGATGTCAGTGAGTGCAATAATAACCCTTAAGATTGGTGTCAATAGACTCAGTAATAACCCCACAACATTGATGTCAGTGTATACAATAATAAGCCCCAACATTGGGGTCAGTGAATGCAATAAAAAACCCCAGCATTGATATCAGCGAGCGCAGTAATATTCCCCAACATTAGTGTCACTGGATGCAACTGTGACCCCCAACACTGGTGTCAGTGGACACAATAATAACCCTCAACTTTGGTGTCAGTGTGTGCAATAGTAACCCCCAACACTGGACACAATATAAACCCCCAGCAACACAGTAATATCCCCCAGCATTGATGTCAGTGGAAGCAACAATGGCCCCCAACACTTATCAGTGAACGCAATTTTGTTTTTTGCAGCCTCAATAATACCCCCAGCACTGGTGTCAGTACTGTTAACTCCCCCCACTGGTCACTGCCAGTAAAATTTAATTCTCCCCCCTGCATTAGTGATCAGTTACCTGATCACATGCTCACATGCACTCTGTCTCTTCCCAGGCCAGGACTTTACTTAAGCCTAGTACACACTTGGTTTTGTTTAGTTCAACCCAGCGGGCTATCTCAACCATCCAATGTTAGTAAAGCGATCTCCCCTGCTGTAAACCCCCCCACCTCTCCCCACCGGAACACTCCAGTGAGCGCTCTCAACCATTGGCTGAGATCACTGATCGGGAGCCAGTCGGCAGATCTTTTCTGGTCATGCCCCTTGGACAGACTTCTGTTGGATGGGCTTCCGCACACATGGGCCGCATGTTCTGCCCAACATTCGGCCTGTGTGTACCAGGCTTTATACTCTGAGGAAGAAACTCTGCCTCAGGTCATTTGCTGAGCTCCAGGGGACATGTGGCTTTTTCCACTGCTACACAGAATGCACCTGCTTAAGATCAGGGATTTTTGTCAAAAGGATACTCAGTGGCTTTTATGTAAATAACACCATAGTGACACTGTACTACTCTGGGGTGATCAGGGATTTTTTCTTTTACACTGTGATTCCTTATAATAATGATGATCAATCTGGTATAAGCAGTTGTCTTAACTGTCATGAATGGCTTTCATTTATGACAGCTTGCTTACTGTTGGGATGCTGTGATAGGCTACAGCTACACATGACACAGTGCTGTGATTGGCCTAGGTACCATGTGATAGCTGTGGGCCAGTCACAGCATCACAATAGTAAGCAAGCTGTCATGAATGGAAGGCATTCACAACAGTTTTGCTTACATGTTTTCATGTGATCGCTATTATTGGTCATGGTACTCACAGCAGCCGGGTACCAAGAGCTGTGACCTGCTGTGTCCACTGGACACAGTGGTCACAGGGTCGTGCTAGTGAGCTTGTGCACCGCGACATATGGGTACATCGCTGTGCCTGGAGAAGCCACCCGCCAGCAGTTAATGTATTAATGGAACTTAGTAAGTGGTTAAAACCTGTGTTGATGGGCATTTGCTCACATAAATGTTCACATAACTGCTTTTCTCCCTATAGAAGTCAATAGGAAAGCAAAAGCAGCTTGATGAACATTTTTGCAGCTTAGAGGAATATTAAATACAGATCAAAAAGAGGTCAACTGCAGGTCAAATGCAATAGTCCATAAACGTGGAAGGATCTCAGGAGCTTCTTATATTATTCTCAAATGCAAGCAGAATACATTTGAAATCAAGCTATTTTCGACGCAATTGACACATATTGTCACACTTTCAGATGCCAAAGAGAGAGGTCACCCTCAGGACCCCTAAAAATGTTATTATGGCGCCCCATGGATTGCAATTGCGCCCCTTGTAGACAGCTTTAATGAGGTTTGCAGATAAATAAACACAGTCAAATACCCAACTTCTGTTGTCATCTTTCAACACTATTTTGGCTTTGTATAGCTAAAAGTCAGGCTTGATTCACCATGTATACAATTTTTGGGTGGTTTTGGGTAATTTTTAAGCATTCTGCCAAGGCACTCTTCAAGAACACAGAATGCAGTCCAGGGTGCCACAGCACCCTGGTTGAAAAAAAAGCTGTCATAGAGCATATAATGACTGATATATAAAACAGTTAAAAAAATATTAGTCTTGGCCTAACCCACTGTGATCTGCTATATGTCTGGTCATATAAAAATTGTGGCAAGATTTAACTTCACAACAAAATGTTCCTGTGCAGCTATCTGATCACTATACAAAAAGGCCTCATGCTTTTTCTCTCTTTTTTTTATCTACAAAGACGCAGCTGCAGTATAGACAGATCTCCTGGATCTAGTTGTGTGGGATCCCCATCGTGTTCACGGAGAGACATGTGTCGCTCCGAATCTGTGCGTGGTGTTGCAGGTGCCCATCGCATATTCAGGCCCTCAGACCTCATTCCTGGGGAGGTTCTGGGAAGGGGCTGCTTCGGACAAGCAATTAAAGTGAGTGTCTTTGGACTAGTGTCCTGTATGCTGTTTTAAAATTGCAGTGAACTTTTGTCAATGAAGTTTCTTGTAGAATACAATTAACCAAGTAACATGAAAAGCCTGCCTGTTTCTAGTACATTTCTTCTTCTTCACTTCACAAAGTACCTTAAAATGACATCTTTTACCAGCAATACTACATGGCCAAAACTTTGTGGACACATGACCATCATGAGCTCTTTTGATATTCAATTTCAAAACCAAGGGTATTAATATGAAGTCCCCCCCCCCCCCCTTTGTGACAATAACAGCCTCCAAACATCTAGACATGTTCCAAGATTTTGGAGTGTATCTGTGGGAAAATCTGGCTCACTATCAGCGTTCCAATTAGGAATCAGATTAGGCACATACTTCACATCGTCAAATGCACTAGCAATACTTGTTAATTTAGAGGCCTGCCTAAGAACACGCTTCTATGTTATCTGCTTCCATCTACTAAAGAATTGTAAGCAAAACTTGATGGCCAACACCAAATATTCTTGTTGCAGGTTACTCATCGTCAGACTGGTGAGGTTATGGTGATGAAGGAGTTAATTCGGTTTGATGAAGAAACTCAACGAACCTTTTTAAAAGAGGTACGTTTTTTCTCACATTTCTCTGTGTTACAATAAATGCCAAAATATTGTGTAATATTATGTTTATTATTCTTGACATTCTAAGTCTTGCCAAATCCTCAGACAAGCCTTCACCTGCATGAATATGCACCATCCACTTTTCAAATACTTGGCCAACTTGTATTCTGAATACTTTGGTGCAGGAGGTGATGTCCCAGGGCAAACCAAGTCAGTTCCCCATCCAGTGTCAGAATGTCCCCCGCAGTCCCACCATAAGTCACTGGTTGCCGCCATAAGTCGCTGATTGCCGCTATTATTAGTATAAAAAAAATTAAAAATCCATTATCTATACCGCCATTTGTAAACGCTATAACTTTCACGTAAACCAATTAATTTAGACGAATTGGGATTTTTTTTTAGCAAAGACATTTTGCAGAATACATTTTGCCCTAAATTTGTGACGAAATTTGATTTTTACATTTTGTTACTGGATATGTTTTATAGCAAAAAGTCCAAAATATTGTTTTTTTTCTCAAAATTGATGGTCCTTGTTTTTTTTTATAGTGCAAAAAATAAAAAATGCACAGGCTATCAAATACCACTGACAGAAAGCTCAATTTGTGGGGAAAAAAAGGACGTAAATTTCATTTGGGTGCAGCGTTGCATGACCGTGCAATTGTCAGTTAAAGTAATGCAGCGCTATAGCACAAACCGCTTCTGTAACCACTTCCTGACCGCCCTGTAGCAGAAATACTGCTACAGGTCAGCATGGGTGCGCAAAATCACATATACATACGTGATTCACGTCCGTCAGTACACCAGTAATCACATTTAACCCCTTGATTGCCAGGAACACGCTCATACACAATAAACCTCTATTTCTAGTATAGTGTCTGAACGGATCAATATCTTTGATCAGATCAACACTATACCAGGGTTCACATTAGTATAGTGACCCCAAAAACGCGGCTTTAGTGGGATCAGCCCCTGCACATGCCAGCACCGGCTTGTAGCCCCTACACTTACCCCCCCGCCCCCCCCTTCTCCCCCAGCAAGTGCAGTGTCAGTAGGTCACTGTCACTTGATATATTGCACACAAAACCGCAGTGTTCGCAGAATCAGGCCTGATCTCTGTTAGCACTTGCCGGTAAATTTTGATGACTCTCATATGCAGCAGAGTGCCAGTACTAGTGCCGCTCTACCTTTTGGTGAACTGGCAAGCACCAGTGGCCTAGTACATCCTGGTCTTTCACATACCAGCACTGCAGTATCACTTGGTGACGTGGGGAGTCCCATAAGTGCAGTACAAGCTGGTGCGATGGCGAGCACAAGTATTGTCCTGCAACCACCAAGAATTCGCACACAGGCCCGTTGAGCCCCTGGTATCCTTCCGGATGTGCTTGCAAATCTTGATTGGCAGCCCACAAATTCTGCAGCACCCGTACTTCCCCCATTCACTGCCCAACCTGGAATTCATGTGGAAACAGCAAATTTAACTACTCCCCTTGATTTTTTTGGAGCTGTTTTTCATGGAATATCTGTATGCATTTAACGCCGTCAACCTAAATTCAAACCTTGCCAGACCATTCGCATGGAATTTAAATTTTTTTTGGTCCTCACCCTCAACATGGGCTTTACTAAAAAAAAAATTAATTGCGATTGTATTGGTCCACAGACCTGATTCATCATATGCCCGTGTTCTCTGCTGCAATGTCCAGGCATAGATATGAGAGTATATTGTGTTTTTTGCATTTCAACGACAATACACTCTGTCATCCTCGGGGTGACCCTGAATTTGACCGGCTCCACAAAATTCAGCCCCTCGTAAATCACCTTAACCGAAAATTCGCAGATGTCTATACTCTGCATTGATGAGTCCCTCATTAATTTTTCTGGCCGCCTTGCATTCAAACAATTTCTCCCCAGCAAGCGTGCCAGATATGGGATCAAGATGTACAAGACCTGGCTATACATATAAGTGTCGGCTATACATATAAGGCTATACATATAAGGGCAACAGGCTATACATATAAGTGTCGGATTTATGAGGGAAATATAATCACATGGAGACCCCTGGATGCCCATACTATATGGGGAGTAGTGGCAAGAATAGTTTGGGACTTGGTGTCATCCTTATTTCATATGGGGTACCACTTATACGTGGACAATTTTTATTCAAGCTTGCCACTATTTAGACATTTGTACAATCTTGGAACTGGCGCATGTGGCACCGTGTGACCTAATATGTGCCCACCATTATAAGTGGGTGGATGCAGGGCAGTATATTCTAATGGTGGGCATACCACACACTTTTCCTGACAGAGACTTCTTCTCTTTTTTTTTCATTCAGCCCACAGGCTGCATGCAAAAAAAAAAGAACATAGTATATATACCCAAAAAGGACCAGCGACGTACTGGTACATCACTGGAATTTGAATGGTTATACCAGGATGATGCCTACAGCTGCCGGCATCATCCTGGTATCATTTTTTTCAGCTGGCAATTGGCTTTCACGTAAAAACAATCCTAGTGGCTAATTAGCTGAAGGATTGCTTTTACAAGCAGTGGGAGATGATGCCCCTCCTCCCCCGCTGCCTTCTACGGCCTTCTCGGGCAGTCCCGTGCCATCGGAGGGAACCTGAGAATGCAGCCGGTATTTTTTGCCACCTGACCATAGAGCTGATTGGAGACTGGAATGGTGCCAATCATCTCTATAGTCTAAGAAATAAAAAGCTACGAGCCTTTCATCACTTCCGTTTCGCAGGATATAAACAACGCCATTTGTAAATTGGGAAATTATCTGATCACACCGATCTTGGTTTGATTAGATAATGTAAGGGCAGAGGAAACATCTAGAGTCTGACAGACCCCAGATTTCTCAAAAATGAATATATGACAATACCCATTGAAGTTATAGGGGATATTTGCATTTCCTGTGATAGCATTAAAAGTGATAAAAAAAATGAAAGGGACAGTGTAAAAATAATTGTAAAAAATCAAAATAAATAAATAAATTTTAAAAAAAGCACCCTCGCCTGCCTGCACGTGCACACCTGCGTACGCGAGTGTTGACCCTGTGCCTGTATGTAAACAGCGGTTGCACCATGCATGTGAGGTATCGCCGTGAATGTCAGATCAAGGGCAGTAATGCTAGCACTAGACCTCCTCTGTAAATCTAAAATGATAGCTTGTAAAGGCTTTTAAAGCATTGCCTATGGATATTAAATACGTATGCAGTTTGTCACCATTGCACGGGGCATGCGCAGTTTTAAAGGATGTCATGTTTGGTATCTATTTACTTGGCATACTATCCCATCATCCTTTATATCTTACCAAATAATTGGCCAATAAATTGTGTTTTTGTGAAATAAAAGTAAAGAAAAGTGTATTTTTTTTTTTTTAAATTTGCGTTTGAAAAATTGCTGCGCGAGTACTATGTGACATAAAAATTGCAGCACCCACCATTTTATTCACTAGGGTGTTTGCTTTAAAAAATATATAATGTTTGTGGGTTTAAATTAATTTCCTAGCAAAAATTAAAGATTTTTTCATATGAACAAAAAGTGTCAGAAAAGACTTGGTCTTCAGGTGGTTAGAAGAGTGATGTGTGACATAAACTTCTAATGCTGAGCATAAAATGTCCCCACCCCCCAAAACAAAACCTTTTTGGAAAGTAGACACCCCAAACTATTTGCTGAGAAGCATGTTGAATCAATAGAAGAATTTGTTTTTTTTTTACCAGAAGTTTTTGGATAATGACAAAAAATAATTTATTTTTTTTACACAAAATTGTCAATTAAATGATTTAGTGCATACACATGCCATGAGTATATGTGGAATTACTCCCCAAAATACATTCTGCTACTTCAACCGAGTATGAGTGTACCACATGTGAGAGACTTTTTGGCAGTCTAGCCAAGTACAGGACCTCAAAATCCAATAAGCACCTTCAGGCTTTTAAAGGGCTTTATTTTCTCATTACACTTCCTGACTACCTATCACAGTTTCAGAGGCCCTGAAATGCCAGGATAGCACCAAACCCCCCCAAATGACACCATTTTGGAAAGTAGACACCCCAAGGAATTTGATAAGTGTGGTGAGTATTTTGCAGATCTCGTTTGTTGCCACAGGTTTTTGGAAAATGAAGAAAGAAAATTAAAACATATTTTTCTTTTCTTTTTTTCTTTTTCAAAACCTTGTGAGAAAAAAATGAGATATGCAGAATACTCACCATACCTCTTTTTAAGTTCCTTTGGGTTTCTACTTTCCAAAAAGAGCTCATTTGGGGGAGGGGGGGGGGGGGGGATGGTGCTGTCCTGGCATTTCAGGGCCTCCAAAACTGTGATAGGTAGCGAGGAAGTGAAATGAGGAAGTTACGCACCTTCAGGCTTTCAAAGTGGTCATTGGATTTCAGGCTCCTGTATGTGGCTAGGCTCCCAAAAAGTCTTACACATGTGGTAACCCCCTTACTCAGTAGAAGTAGCAGAATATATTTTTGGGGTGTAATTCCACATATACCATGTGAGAAATATATAATTTAAATGACAGCTTTATGTAAAAAAAAAAAAAGTTTTTGTCATTTTCCAAAAACTTGTGGAAAAAAAATACATCTTCAATGGACTCAATATGCCTCTCAGCAGATAGCTTAGGATGTCTACTTTCCTAAAAGGGGTCATTTGGGGGTGTTTGTACTATCCTGGTATTTTAGCACCTCAAGAAATGTGATGGGCAGTCAGAAAGTAAAAGCTGTGTAAATTCCATTATCTGTACCATAGTTTGTAGATGCTATAATTTTCACACAAAGCAATAAATATACACTTATTGGGATTTTTATAACCAAAAACATGTAGCAGAATACATTTTGGCCTAAATGTATGACGACATTTGAGTTTTTTGGATATTTTTGATGACAGAAATGAGAAAATAGTGCAAAAAGTATGAGTGCAGTGCTAATCAGTATCTAATAGAACCGTAATACAATATACTCAATCCCCCAAATAAATCCAAGATACTCAATACAT